TTTTTTTTTTTTTTTTTTTTTTTTTTAACTTAAATATGAAAATTTTCAAGTAAGTCCCATATATATTATCACTTTTCAATTTAATCTCTCATCTTTTAAAAATAAAATTGCACAATTTCAAAAGAAGGAAGATAATTATTATTTTTTTTCAATTTAAATATTTATATAAGTAGAGATATTTAAAATTATTTAAATTAAAGCTTTCGAATTATGTAATTAGTTCAAAAGAGTTCAAAAGACAATTTGCTATTCCGTGACATTTAGGGGTGTTTGGCACATAGATTTAGGAAACTTGGTTTACGAAACTTATGTTATTTGGAAATTTGGATTCGGAATGCAAATTTAAAAATACTGTATTTATAAAATTCATGTGATCTTCGAGCAAATGAATGATACCCGAATGAACTGAACTAACAGCCACAGATGACAGTGGAAACCCACACGAAACTCTTTTTTTTTTCCAATATTCATTCCGATAGTCCCCGTGAAATTTCAGACATCTTCAAAATTACATGGGACCGACCGACCGACCGACCAACCTAACTTCGCTCGACACCTCGATTTGATTACACAATTCTCCCTCTTTCTTTACCTCACCATTGTTGAAGAACCAGCAGCAAGAACAGTATAAAACAATGTTTTTTGGGTTGGACTTGCAAATGGAAGATAAGATACCTGTAGTTGTTGTGTTTGTAATATGAATCTTTCCTTCCTCTTCTTCTTCCTGCAATTTTACCTGTAGTCTAGTAGGCACTGGCAACTTCATTTCCTAGCAGAAGACCAAGCAAAATGTGATGAGAAACGAGAAACGAGAAACGTCGAGCTTCATTGCTTTCATTCTCATGAACTGTCGAAGCTGCCTTGCACGTTCGCCCGGTTTCTCTCTTTCCAGTTTTCACCCCACATTTTTGCTTCTGCGACTGCACGTTCTCTGTTTACGTCGCGGTTTTTCTGTGTTTCCCTTGCTCGTCCTGTATATGCAGGACTGTCTCGTAGAGACTCTTGTTGTTCTAACTCATCTAATTCCCATTTTCGACCAGACCCGCCTCCCGTGTCAATTCTGCTTAGCTCGGTACCTCCAGAGTTTCTGTAGTTTGTCGGGGAACAACATCCATGACCACGCTCATCAGGGCTATCCAATCCATCTGGCAAGCCTCTCCGCTCATCTCGGGATTGTGGAGTAGAAACACTCATTCGATTGCTTTGAGAAGCAGCTGTATTAGGATCATAAGTTTGCGAGGCTAAATACGTCAAAGCAGTAACGACGTCCCCGATTAGAGGTCGAGAAGCAGCCTGCTCTTGCAAGCACATTGCTGCAACTGCCAATGCCTGATAAAGCCCCCGTGTGGGATAACGACCTTGCAGCAACGGATCGGCCATCTTAGGGAACTTTCGACGATCTTTAAAAAGTGGCCGAGCCTGTATACCATTTGCCAGCAAAAGCTTTGGGTGATTAATACAAATTGAAATGCACAAAGAATGAGAACAGTAAAGAAAGCATACTCACCCACGCTACAAGATTATGCTCCCCCGGACCTCTGGTATTATCGATCGCCTTGCGCCCTGTGATAAGTTCAAGAAAGACGACTCCAAAACTATATACATCCGACTTGAGAGTGAGTTGACCAGTCATAGCATACTCCGGAGCACAATAACCATATGTTCCCATTACTCTCGTCGAGACGTGAGTCTTATCACCAACTGGACCTAGTTTCGCAAGACCGAAATCTGACAGCTTGGGATGGTAGCCCTCGTCTAGAAGAATATTGGACGACTTCAAGTCTCGATATATGACAGGCGGGTTCGCTTTGTCATGCAAATATTCCAATCCTTTTGCAGCACCAGCTGCGATCTTCATTCTAGTATTCCAATTCAAGGGCTCCTTATCTGGTGGAAAATCTGAAAATAGGTACAAAAAGTAATCAGAAAGGTTTTGAATAATACAAATTGATGGAGAAGTAAAGCTTCAACAGAATGTTTGTGAGATCCCATATTGGTCTTGAATGTTTGTGAGATCCCATATTGGTTGGAGAGGGTAATGATGGAAACCTCTCCCTAGCAGACACGTTTAAAACCTTGAGAGGAAGGACGGAAGGGAAAGCCTAAAGAGAACAATATCTGCTCATGATGGGCTTGGACTGTTACAAATGGTATCAGAGCCAAGTTCGAAACGGTGTGCTAGCGAGGACGCTGGACCTCAAAGGGGTTGGATTGTGAGATCCCACGTTGGTTGGAGAGAGTAACAAAGCATTCCTTATAAGGGTGTGGAAACCTCTCCCTAGACGCATTTTAAAATCTTGAGGGGAAGCCTTGAAGAGAAAGCCTAAAAATGACAATATCTGCTAACAGTGGACCTGGGCTATTACAGTTTGACTCAGAAGTTAGATTTAGCCCTTCATCCGGCCATGAGAGTTAACTCACTGTTAAAATAGATGGTGGGAGATACAAATTGATGAATTTGATGACCGCTATAACAACCCAAGCCCACCACTAGTAGATATTGTCCTCTTTGGGCTTTCCCTTCCAGGCTTTCCTCAAGGTTTTTAAAACACTGCTAAGGGAGAGGTTTCCACACCCTTATAAAGAATGCTCCGTTCTCCTCTCCGACCAATGTGGAATCTCACAATAGCAAATGAAGACCCCCACCCACCCCAACACATAATCTCTATGTGCACGTCTATGATGGTGTTGGTGGGAGCATCTAGCAAGCTAGTATGTCCTTTTGTGCTAAATTTGTGATTAAGATAGCTTTCATATTTGAAACTTAAAAAATTGTTCCTATCACAAGATGAAAGAAAAAGAAGGTATGGATATCAAACCATGTAAATGATCTTCCAACGACCCCAATGGCATGAACTCGTAGACAAGAAGCCGTTGATCGCCATCAGCACAATAGCCTATCAAGTTAACAAGATTTGGGTGATGTAACAGGCTAAGCATTAGAACTTCAACCAAAAATTCCCGATTTCCTTGAAGACCATTCCGGTCGAGCTGCTTCACAGCCACTGCCTGTACAAGAGCAGTCATTGAGAACTTATATTTCATGTCATAAATTTGTTTCACATATAAGGACAATCTAAGGATGTTGTCTCAATTGGGCAGGAGACTTTCACATGATCTGTGAAATCCCATATCGATTGAGGAGGAGAATGAAGCATTCTTTATAAGGGTGTGGTTTTAAAAACCTTAAAGGGAAGCCCGAAAGGGAAAGCACAAAGAGGATAATATATGTTAGCGGTGGGCTTGGGTCATTACAAATGGAATCGGGTGTCAGTGAGGATGCTGGGCCCTGAAAACGGGTGGATTGTGAGATCCCATATCAATGGGAGAAGAGAACGAAGCATCTTTTACAAGTGTGTGGAAACCTCTCTCATTTCAAAAACCTTGGGGGGATGCCCGAAAGGGAAAACCCAAATAGGGCAATATCTACTAACAGTGGGCTTGGACCGTTACATGATCGGTGCCCTTTACATCCATTGTCATAAATCATTTCAAGATAATGAACTTCCATATGTGAAAAACAATATCTTACCTGTCCCGTGCTCTCCAAGCGGCCCTTGTAAACCCGTCCAAACCCCCCTTCTCCCAATAAGCATTCAGGTCTAAAGTTCTTCGTCGCTGTAGCGAGCTCCCGAAACGTAAACGTTTGAGCAGCAATATGTGCCGTTGTTCCATCCTTTTGAACAGTTGGTTCGTTCTTAGCATCAGATACACTCCATGACTTCGATTTATCTATAAAAACTAGCAACTTAGACATCATGCCAACCATACAAAGCTAATTCAACTCACAATTCAACATACATTTTGCCCTTTCTATAGCCTTAATCATTTCACAATGTCAAAACATTCACAAAACATCACTAAGCCAAGAACAAGATAATGAGGAAGTTAACAAAAAGCAAAAAGATAAAAACAACAAAAATTTGAACGCCATTGAATTCTTCAGATCAAAACCACAAAAATTTCTCCAAAAAACCTATGAACAACGAAAACAGAACGAACCAGCAAATTGCCACAGTTCAAGGAAGCCATAGCCATGAAAACAAGCAAAACCCTAAAGAATTA